CTCAAATCCCTTCCCTTTCCGCCTCATTTTCGTCGCTGACCAGAAGGTTTCCTCAGACGAAAGTCCACATTTTGTGGCCAAACAAAAATTCACAGCTTCGCAATTTCCACCAAACAATGCCCATTAAGTGTGTGTGTGAAACAGATTTAAGTCGCTTGCGTGACAAGAAATTAAGAAGTTGAATTTTTCATTAGGATTTGTTACGCCAAATGACACCCAAGAGTTGCCGGATTATATTTATTAGGATGATGAAACTGCACATTTCGTAACTGCGTGAACATAGATTACCAGTCAAGATAGCTTGTAATCAGAATTTTTGCCATTAGGAACTTCCGAGGAAAGAATTCCAGATCATTAGTGACAAAAACAGAATACAATAAAGGCTTGACGATGTGATTTTGGAAGACTTTTAACACTAGAAAGCACTATGGCCAAATTTGATTCTAAAGTCTCACTGTATAGCTTTGATTTAGCACAAACAGCGTTAAAAAAGGTTAAGTATTTCAATTCGCAATCAACCAAAAATTGCCCTGAAAAGCACTTGTGAGCTGGTCAGCGTGGCCAGATTCATTTTCTAATGTGCAGAAAAATACCTAATCGGAGAGCCAAAATGATTCAATCAAGCCGAGAAAAATCATGTCGATTCCCGAAAAAAACACTCGTTTATAAAGGTTTCTGTTAATAGTCCCAAAATCCAGCTCAATGAGTTTTTTTCGAGATTCCGGACAAACAGTTTCAGAGCTTTCTTGGCGCAGCATAAAAATCCGTAGCATTCCACTTCTCCTGTGACTCAATTGTCCTGCCGAATACCACAAGGATTTCGTTCAAGAACGGCGGCGAGACACGCCAAAGCGCTTCGCTTTCTGGCGAGCGAGACTGACCGTCTTGGGGGTCTTTTTCAGGTGGCTACGGCTACGGATATGGTGGGAACTTCCTGGGCGCCAGCGGAGGCAACTTCTACGACCCCGTGCGAGGCCCTTACGGACCACCCCAAGTGATGGATTATCCCGGCTACGGAACGGGATTCGACGGCGGCGCTCTGGATTACGGTCACTCGGCACACACAGGATATGGATTCTTCGGCCATTCGCCGTCCCATCACTACAGCGCCAAGGTAAGGAGCTTCCCATCTTCCACCCTGCACACAATAGACTCTCTCTGCCCCTCTTTGAATTTTATGGCCTTACGCCCCACAATATTTTTTCGAAAGGAATTTCGGAGTAATGAAAAGAATATTGCTTTCTCCCTTCTCTTGTGCTTTCAACATAAAAGTCTCTCTTCTTGCCACTGGCCGGGGCGGCTCTGTTGGGGGTGGCGGCGGCCCTCGTGGCCAACCCAGTGCTTCTGCAACTTGGTGTGATTTCCGGCAAGCGCAGGAAGCGCAGCGTCTCAGACGAAGCTCATGCTCACAAATTGGCTTACAGAGAGCAAATACGACGGTAAATCCGCGCTGGACTTTTTTCACAATGATGTGGTGCAATTGTAAGAAATTTCTAACAGAGCAAATATAATTTATATTGACCGGAATCAACTCCATGAGATGTCTTTGTCTTTTTCCGTAAAACTAAACACACAATCGTAAGAGGAGAAAAGATATAATATATTCACCTTATTACAACATCGTCCGTCGTCATTGTGTGATAATGTGGCTTCACTTGGACGGCAGTTGAGACAGTTTCGGGCGATAACAGAACTGGGAAAACATCACACACTTCACTATAATGAGTCAATGTTCAGCAGAAGCTGTGCATTCCACACACAAAATCACTTGAGTTTTTCATATTAAGACAAAATAACACTGGCCGATAGACGAGGAAATGACTATTAGACGCTCTTAAATGGTGTCAAACATTCTCGTTTCACGCTCTTCGTATCACTGAAAATGAATTTATGAGTTCAACTCTAAATTTCCAGGCGCGTCGACCAAGATAAGCTAATTTGCTTTTGTGTTGTGATTGAGAATTAGGTGATTGCTTTCTCATTTTATTGGCTATATGATATTGCCCCACACAACAATTTATCTAGAACCAAATACACAAAGCCATCGCGAGCGCTTTATCTGCCTCTTGACACAGTGAAAGGTAACATGAACACCAGAGTCTCTCCAGTTGAGATAAAATCCACAAAACAAACACATGGCAAATGCGGAGCAATTATACATATGAGAAACCGAATTGGTGAACGCGCTGAGAAATTGACTTTACTTTGCGCAAAGTGAGAGAAGAAAGGAGAAAAAATGTATTGAAGACAAAGTCAAAATAGAAAAGGTAAATAAATATGAGAAATGGAAATTTGTGTCGTTCTCTCCGATACTTGAAGTGTTTCTCAGGGTGTTATTTGTGCACAAAGCCAAGATCAATCTCATCAACTTTACCAGGGATGGAAAAGACACTCTTCTTTCGCATAATCTCGGTGTTGTTTATGCTGCAAAGACAGCACGTGTGCTTCAGTTTTTGCACCTCTGATGGGCTTCTTTTTTGGGTATTCTCACTTCTTGTGAGATTCTCAAGCAACAAAATTGAATGGAAATTCAGCGAAAATGCAGAGCCATTAATTAGAGAAGGAGATGGAATTTTAGTGCTTCACTTCAACTTAATTTGAAAATCCACATCATAACAACACAACAACAAAAAATCCAAGCCCTCAGAGAAAATTTGCATGTGAAGAAGAGAGACTATATAATCTCAGCGAAATATCAACTCTTTTCCTCTGCACAAAACTCTTGGTGAACAAGAGAAAAAAGGGAGATAAAAATAAATGCACACAATATCATTTGAATTACGCACAATTAAACTCCCTCATATGTTTCCTCAGTGGGAATAATTCCGCTGAAGACGCGCTGGATCGCGAGTGAGTCACTCAGAAGATCCCCTTGACTCTCAAAATTCATGGCAGCATAATTATGGGGTCGGCGATTGGATGGAATTGGCTGCAGTTCTCAGGCTCCGTGCTCTGTTAATTGACTCTGGGCATTGTCATTCCCTTTAGGGAATAGTTTAAAAGCAATTTGTTTGAATTTGACTATAAATCGACTCATTGTAGATCAGCCTGTGATGCTCTCTTCCTGCTGACCTTTCCTTTATCGCGCACACGCGAAGATGAGTCACAGTGGTGAGTGAAGAGATTCAACGAGTTTTCACGAGCCGGGGAAATTCCAGGCATTTAATTGCGAGACTCTGATGTTATTTTTTCGCTAATTGATGGTGGAATTGTCGAGGCCAGTAATGAATTCCATCACTGGCAAGTGAGAGTTTTGATCTCTCTCACTCCCTGCCCGGGTGAGAGTTGGTCACAACACCGTGGAAATGAATTGACTATCGCACCATGGAAAAACTATTGAGCGAGAACAGATAAATCGGCGCACACACTTTTGCCAACGTGGGCAAATCTCGCGCGCACGCGGAATTCTTCGGCACTTCACACTCACTCTTCACCTGTCACCACTGCTGGATTGAAAATCTCCTGCCCACAAGACAACACTCAAACTTTCCGGAAAGACAGCGTCCAGCAAAACTGCCCGTCCGACGGTCACAGCGAACTGAAAGTTTTTTGCTTTCATTCGAAACTGAATCATGTTTTTGTGTTTAATTCTCCAACTCCATCTCCTTCACCAAGAGAAGTCTCATCGCGGAGCGAGAGAGAAGGCCGTCTCTCTTTCGCACATGCGGCAACATCCACACAGCACACAATAGCCATGTTCACTGCTGACAACTCTGCTCTCTCGCCGGAACGAATTCCCAGAGCCATTGAGGCTCAGCAGCTGAATGAGCCCAGAGACTCCACTTGAACGGCACTATATGGCAAAACACACCGACTCTCTGCGGAGATTCCTCCACCACCACCACCGCCAGAGACTGGTTTAGGGCACTCGCGATCGCGGGTCACAGGCGTCCCATTTATGACAAATCGGTGCATGAACCGCCGAGCAGAAGGTCGCCCAAGAATGTGCCAAAGAGCCATCAATTTGCCACCGCGCGCGCACGGATTCTGCCCAGTCAGCGACTTTGCCGCCGGATCCGCCGCGAAGCCCCGCGGGCATTCCGTTAAGGTGCATATCGTGACCACACTTTTGGGGACGATAAATTTCAATCTAGATGCGCTTCCCGCATCGCGAAGCTGAGCGGAAAGTTTTCACTGTCTAATATTTCACTCTCTCTCTATCCCGGACAATTCCATTCCCGCAGGCAAATATGTATACATAACGTCGCGAATGAGGGTGGATTTGCTGTAGAGTTGACGAGAGAATTGCATAGAGATTTATCTCTAAGCAAGAAGTGCGTAAAAATGTTCTAAACAATAATTGAATTAAGCTCCGCCTCTTTGAATGCTCCGCCCAACTTTCTATCTTCCACTGTGTTTTAGAGAGATCTGTGCATCTGATTTTGTGCATTGCATGAAAAAGAGTTTCAAGTGGAACTGTTTAAAATTCATAAACATCAACGAAAAAAACAGCTGAAATAGCGCAATAAATATTACTAGCAAATTTTTTTCACAACACTCTGGCGAACGTGATTCTACGAAAAATGCATGACTTGAGTGCCATTTGCTCACTAAACATATTTTAGAATGTTTCGCAACAGCTTAATGTCACGACGAAAACCGTGAGAATCATTTTAATCTATCATCTTTGCATCTCGACAGTCGTTTTTGGGGCGGTGAAAAAGGGCTCAGATGGGGAAACGCTTCTGCTCGAGAGATGAAAGTGATACTTGTGGTCAGAAGAGCCCTCATCGCTGTGCAGCATTTTCAACCACTCTGTTTTTCCACCCTCCATTCAATTGGCGATTGCCAGGCTATTTGACGCATTTCGCATGACTTGTTATCGGTTTAATTATCAGATGCTCACTGCTAATTAGCAAGAGACTATGTCAAGTGTAATTGACGACTTGCTAACCACTATTCGTCCTCTCTTAATTACCGATCTGCCAACACTTTCAGAGGAAGTGACACGATCCATATAAAATAAAATTGATCACATTGCCGCGATGTTTCTTAGTCAGCAAGTGTCTTTCCTCCTCATATCACAATTTTTTTTGGGGGGGTTTTGTGAACAGTGGAAAATGTTCAAGACGAAATCATCAGCTGTGATCTTCCTTCTGGCGATCGTGACTCTCGTGTTTGCTGTATATTGTTCCCATACTTTTCGGCGCCTTCCTTTTTTGCGTCTTAACCCTCGCGCACTGACTTGTCTTTGCAGGGCGTCACGCACGATCAATTCCAACAGAGTGCCAAAATCATGAGAAACACCTGTCAGCCCAAGTTCAAAGTGCCCGACGAGCTGGTCAACAAGCTCAGTCAGGGTGTTTTTCCCGAAGACAAGAATCTCAAGTGCTTCGTGAATTGCTTCTTGGAAATTGCGCAAACCATGAAGAGAGGAAAGGTAAATGTGCCGGCATCGCTTAAGCAAATTGATGTCCTGGTGCCGGAGGATCTCAAAGATGACTACAGAAATGCCCTCGATGCTTGCAAGGATTCCGCGAAGGGCATCAAGGACAACTGCGAAGCTGCTTATGCATTTCTCAAGTGTACACATGTGAAAAATCCATCTTATGATTTTCCTGTCAATTGAAATAAACCTTTTCGCGTAATAGTGGAAATAATAGCAATTTATAGACTCTCCTTGTGTTGAATGAATTTCTCCCATTCAAGAAATAGCGCCAATATTCGAGGGAATAAAACGCCATAGTCAATTGAACTTTACACCCGATAGTTTGGCCAATTGGATGAAATGGCATGTTGACGGCAAACAATAGCTGTTAAGGCGGCAGACATGCAAATTAAATAAAGTGACAATATCGAAAAATCGTCTCGCAATACGGAAAGAGACACAATATTGAGCGGAAATTATTCCGTTTATCACCATCGTCAAGATTGTAATAAAGTCAAATGGTTTTTCCTGCATTGTTTTCATACCTGTTCAATTTTGTGTTGACATTTTTTTACACTTCCGCCATAATTGCACATTTGGCAACGAGATATAATTTATGGTTTACAGCCCGAAAAGTTCTTCTCAATCAGAAGGATGGACTATAAAAGAGTGTTTGTTGCCAAAAATCCCAACCAGTTTCATTGCTGAATTCATTGTGCTCCACACAGAGTGAGCTTGGAAATCAAAGGAGAAAAAAAATGCAGAAAATCGTGACTTTTGTGGTGCTTCTTTGTCTTGGATTACACGTCGCAAATGCGGTATGAAAATTCTTTTATTAATACCAAAAATCCACTCGACAATTTCCCCACGAAAAGCTTTTTCTTCGTCACTTCAGGGCGTCACAGTTGAGCAAATGGAGAAGGCAGGTGATTTGGTGAAGTCAATTTGCCAGCCTAAATTCAAGATTTCCGACGAAACCGCCGCGAACTTCCGCAAAGGCATTCTGGCTGACGACAAAGACGCCAAATGCTACATAAATTGCATCTTCGAGAACATGCAGGCGATGAAGAGAGGCAAATTCCAGTGGGAGGCGACGAAGAAGCAGGCAGAAATCATGCTGCCGGACGATGTCAAGGAAGCCACTCTTGCAGCTTGTGAAGCTTGCAAGACTGTCACGGATGGCGTTAAGGATCCGTGCGAGGCTGCATATGGTCTTCTTCAGTGTCTAAAAACCAACAGCAAAAACTTCTTCTTCCCATAAATTCTGTGCGAAAAAGAAATTGTAGTTTATGTGTCTTTTATTGATTGTTCTTTGCCCGAAATAAATGAGCTTTTTTGATTGAAATTACTCACTGTGCGTTATTATAAGTGGAAATATCTTCACATTTCCGATAACACGGTAATTGCGAACTGTCGCGCGACACTGTTTATATAATTACGCGAATTACACAGATGGTAGCATAATTGAGAATGCAAATCATTCTGTAAACATGTCTAGAGCTCTAGACATTATGCAGATGATAAGTTTCTCTCTCATTCATTAAATTTTTGCCTTGGGAAACTTGTGAATGAAATGCTCAGAAAAGTGACAATAAATCTCTTTACTTTTTACCTCAAAAGATTACAAATGCAGAGCAAAAATCAAAGTTCAAAGCTTGAGTTAGAATTTAAATTGATTTTATCACTTCCTATCAATTTTCTATAACGTACAGTTAAGAAAAGCGGCTGCTTATCCACACTTTTCATGCTCAATTGCAGTAATTGAACGTCTTGCAGCTAATTTTAGCAATATGCAAATCACTCACGAAACGCAAAGTATATAAGTAAGATATTGCATAGAAAGTCTCAATAAGTGTTGAACTTTAAGAGTGATTACAATTGTAGAATAGCACAGAGATGTTTAAAGGATTCCTAGTTCTCTTCCTTTGTGGCTTACACTTTGCAAATGCGGTAAAACAAAAAGGTGAATTTGTGAGTAAATTCAGTGTCATTTCATGAGAATTCGTCTCTAATCCAGGGCGTTACAATTGAACAAATGGAGAAAGCTGGCGACTTGGTGAGGACAATTTGTCAGCCCAAATTCAAAATGTCCGATGAAAAAGCACAAAACTTCCGAAAAGGAATTCTCTCGGACGACAAAGACTCCAAATGCTACGTCAATTGCATCTTCGAGAACATGCAGGCGATCAAACGAGGAAAGTTTCAGTACGAGACGTCGAAGAAGCAGGCAGAACTCATGCTTCCGGACGAAATGAAAGCTTCGACGGTCGCCGCAATGACAGCGTGTAAAAGTTCCACTGACGGGATTAAGGATAACTGTGAAGCTGCATTTACTTTGCTGCTGTGCTTGAAGAAAAACAGTGAATTCTTCTTCTTCCCCTGAAATGCGTTGAAGATTTTGTTTAGTATGAAAATAGACTTTCTTTGTGTCATTGTAAATTATTTAGAACTAATAAATAGAAGAATTTAAAAGGTGTTTTGAAGTAAATGTTGTTTCAGTCAGTATTTTTATGATGATCATGATTTTTCTGCTGGGAAAATAATTGTGGAATTTCGTTTTGGTAAACATTTAATTAATTCTCTCACAAAGAAGCTTTTAAAATTGAAAATAACCAATAATTTCCTATGAAATACTGTGTTAATTCATTCATTTAATCGCTTAAGCTATTTCCATTCAATTTTTAGCTAATTTCAGCCTAAAATTGTGTTGAAAAGGACAAATTGACAATCTGAACACAATTCCTGTCTAAGACATTGAAAAGATTGAATCAGAAATGCACAATTTATACAGATATTTCTGTTTAATGCAAACAAGCTTACAATGACACAAGATTGACTACAAAATTACTACGAAACATTCATTTTCCCCATTTCACGGGAAGAAGAAGGCTTCGTTGTTCTTATGCAAGCACGTCAGTAGAGCATAGGAAGCATCGCAAGGATCCTTAATGCCGTCGGGCGCATTCTTGCACGCCTTAAAGGCAGCAACTGTGGGTCCTTTGATGTCGTCCGGAAGCATGATTTCTGATTGTTTTATTGTTGCCTCGTACTGAAACTTTCCCCTCTTCATCGCCTGCATGTTCTCCAAGATGCAATTGACGTAGCATTTGGAGTTCTTGTCCTCAGGGAAGATTCCTTTGCGGAAGTTCATCGCGACGTCTTCGGGAATCTTAAACTTTGGCTGGCAAATTGATCTCACCAAGTCGCCGGCTTTCTCCATTTGCTCAAGCGTGACACCCTGAATTTCAGAGAGGAAAATCCATCGTGAAAAAATTATCACTAAATCCACTGAAGATTCTCAGCAATTCTCACCGCATTTGCCAAGTGTAATCCACAAAGGACGAGCACGACAAATCCTAATCGCTGCACTTTATCCATTCCTTAAACTACTCTTAAAGCTTTGACACTGATTGAAAGTTTCCACGCAGAGCAAACCTTCTTATATACTGCGCTTATCTCGTGATACATATTTAAATGAGTGATTTGCATACTCTAAAATTAACCCGGAAAATATTCAATTACTCAAAGTACAGAATTAAGATTGCGTGATAAGCCTAAACGAGTTGCATTCAATCACGATAGTTTCTTCTCAACTTCCTGCGTCCGGAGAAATTCGGACGTGAATTTGAAGAAGTTAAACAGTCAAATGCTCTCTATTGTTGATGACGTATTAGAGACGCTTTGATCTTCTGACAAAGAAAAGCGTGTAATTAAATCGTGAAAGCGCTTCGTAAATTTCCTCTCCTTACTAATTATCTTGCCAGTCACATTTCCACGTAAAAGCTTAAATCAAAAGCATGACAATTAAATTGATTATGTGTCTATAAAATCAGGGAATCACTCCAGAATGCCTTTCAGTTTCCACATGCGCTGCCCGAATGCAGCTTCATCAAGTGACACAATGAAGCTTCTCGTGATCTGTTCTGTGCTTCTCCTCGCCGGCACGATGATGGCCTACAATCTGCGCGAAGAGGACTTACAATATGTGAAGAAACTGACACACAGATGTGCAAACAAGACCGGCGGAAATGAAGAGGACATCACGAGTTTTCTGAACAAAGATTTACCGGAGAAGAGAACGACAAAGTGTCTCTACGCTTGCATGTCGGAACTCTTTGGGATTGTGAGCATTTTTTTTCATAGGATTACATAAGAGAGCTTAGATTGTGATAATGCAGTTTTACTGATTCAGACAACTCAAACATTAAGTACGGATTTTGATGAATGTCTTGCAGATCACCCGAGAAGGAAAACTTGATGTTCAGGCACTGAAGGACATTGCAAAGTTCATGTACGCCGATAAGCCTGATGTGCAGAAAGTCCTGAACGAAATTGCCGACGCGTGCGTGAACACAGAGCACGAAGATCGCTGTGAATTGGCATACAAAGCGACACATTGTGCAATCGATGAGGCCACCAGGAGGAATATCAATTACAAGGAATTCATGTAGATGCAAAACATAAACTTGTCAATGTTTCAATAAAGATAAATTATCCTCAAGTTTTCTTATATTGATTCTTTTTTGCACCCTTGGCTTTCATGTCAATCTGCAATTTCCTCGAGAGAGAAACAAACGCCGAAGAAAAATGTCTGAGAAATCCTAATTTATCGTCATAGAAGGCAAATAGATGGATTTTCAATAAAGACATTTCTATTGTCTTTCTCTGCATAAAAGATGCATTCAGCCAGACATGAAAAGCTCTCGCCGTTTATCCAGCCAATTGATTTTTCCGCGAAGTTTTGCACATTCTTCTTCATTTCTCTCTCTCTCTTCCTCTTGGGCTGAAAAATCTCCGTCAGGGAGTCGTAAAATCCTATTTTTCGCCTAAATACACTTAAGAATTCATAAAATTCGTATTCAACTTTCACACTCATCATTCCTTTTACGGTGATTTTTCACGAGCCATAAATCCTGCAACGCCCACAAGTCATAAAAAGCACGCCGTGAGCCCGAATTAAAGCTTTGCGTTGATGTGTTATGGAAAAATTGCACACGAAAACCAGCCAAAGCCTGTAATTACGCTAAACGATTCCCTAATTGCAGGCCACGGCAATTCGTCTATAAAATGACAAAGTTAAGTGATAATTTTCCCCATAAAATGTTCAGTTGTCATCAAAGAGTTTGTAGAAGCGGCGGAAGCGCAAGAAAAGATGTTGAAATTAATCATTTTGGTGATTTTCCTACAGAGTCAAATACAGCAGACGTTTGTAAGACAATTCAGCAGCTCCTTTAGCCTTCACCCCTTGTAATCAAAGGGGCGAGAAAGTGTCGTCAGAAGTGATGAACAGCTTAGGGAAAATCCTATTAAGTTGAAGTGTTGAAATATGTGCAACTACTCATTTTTAAGCAATACTTTCTTAATCAATAAGCGCAACGTTTTAATTGTTTTCCTTTCTGTAACTAATTTGAGAGACGTTTAAGACCTAGAAAAGCAATTGAAAGCAAATTCTTACAAAAATATTGACTGAGAAGTTCAAAAATCTTCACATTAACACTTAAACTCTTCTTTTGATCCATAATCTTAATTTTTCCTGCAATTTTCTTCTCATAGTGCCAAGAAGATCCGATGAAGCAAGCTGCACAGCTCGTCAGACAGAGTTGTCAGCCCAAAACCAAAGTCACAACAGAAGCCATCGAGGGTGTCAACAAGAGAATCTTCCCGGACAATGACAAGAGCATCAAATGCTATCTGAATTGTGTCCTCGAAATGGGTCAAACGGTGAGCAAAACTCCATGTTCCAGAGACAAAATATCAAGTTGGATAAACTGTATTAACGCCGTCTCATTCGCAGATGAAGCGCGGTAAAGTGATCTACAAGCAAGCAGTGCAGCAGATAAAGCAGTTTGTGCCTGAAAACCAGAAGGAGAGCGCACTCTACGCCCTCGACATGTGCAAAGATGCGCGTAAGTTGTGCCGTCTTAATTGCACGTCGCACAGAAAATCAAGTTGAGAAAGCAATTAGATGCACGAATTACACGACATCACAGGAAAATGCCGGGTGACGCCCTTTCCTGTCCACCCTTCGCCACCCCTCTCTATCCCTCTGGCGGTCCAGAGCAGACAAATATTCAAATGAAGAGAGTATTTTCCTCCCCGCATTTTCTATTACTTTTCATGGTCAGTCGCGCGACTGTGTTGGTGTATTTTTAGCTGCAGTGGCTTTAATTGCGATTTGTTATGTCCCCGACAGACATTCTATGGTGCGAGAGACGCTTTTTTATGCACACTATTTGGTACATTTGCAATTTAACCATCACCAAAAGCGCGCCCCGGGCGGCCAAAGGGCGCGTCAGGGACGAAAGAGAGGAACTCAGGGCTAGAAATTGTGTTTAAACCAAAAATTCTAGGTAAGAAACGATAGAATGACTTTCACAGTGGGCGTGGCTTGCGAATGGGTAGAACTAGTAATTAAAACATACTGGATTTATCTTTAACTCACTAGAACCAATAAAAGCAATGGAAAATGTTCGAGATTTTCAATAATTATTTACAGCAATTAATGATATCTAGACATCTGAATTGGACAAAGTTTATCATCACAAGACTACAAATCATTGTGGGCGGAGCTTTCATTAATTTACTTTCACAACGATTTCCCAAGCAAAAACAATACAAATTACAGAATAAACCCAACACCTCAAAAAATGCACTGACAAACCTCTCGAGAGGAAGTTCATTTTGTCGACTTCCGACCTTTCGCCTTCCGCTGGCATCCGAGTACGTAAAACTACCCGAAAAAATCAGCCAGATAACATGGGGAGCAATTTAAATGAAAAACCACTGAAGATACTCTCGTTCCAGTGATAATTAGAATACAAATTGTTCCTATTGTGTTGCGCCATTTGCGCGGGTGTGTAATGAGGATTTTTAAATTATCTCCCACTTCCAGCCAATGGCCAGAAGGATCCCTGCGAGGCTGCCTACACACTGGCCAAGTGTCTGTTGCAGCACAACCCGAGCGGCAGTTTTCCGTGAGGAAAAACAAGTAGAAGAACGATTGCAGCGCGTAATTAAGATTCGACTGAGGAATACAAAACATTGCGCGCTGCTCAGAAATAAACGACTCTTGCCTTCGACTCAATTTACTCCCCATTGTTTCTCACTCTTTATCTTGTGGGAGGGTTTTTGGGGAGAGGAAAGTCACATTTTGTGTATAAGTGGAAAGTTACCTGGTCTGATGAGGAGTCATCCGAAGTTGTAGTTCTTCACGATCTCGCGGAACATCGGCTGACAGGCGAACTTCACTCGGAGTCTGCTGCAGAGCAGGAAGACGCCCGACAGTTTCCTGTGGATGGAGTAGATCTCATCTGGCGGAGGACACAGCCGATGAGCCACCATTGTCGGTACCAGATCCACAATCCTCTTCGTCGTGTCCTGTCGCCCAAAGTCAAACTCTCCGTCGCAGGAAAAAACCTCCCCAAGAATCATCACAGCGTCCACGTGCGCGTTCTCCATCGCCTTGCTCTCGTAGCCTGTCAGGAAGCCCATTTCCCGCGAAATCCTGAGCACAGTGTCCCTATCCTTCCGGCTGGCAGCGACAGTGACCTGCAAACAAAAGATTTGGTTAGTGAAATCCCACCAAAAACAGCCTCTAGAGGCTCACCTTGAGGTAATTATCGATGAAGTCCTTCGTGTAGAATCTCGTGGACCCAAAATCGATCAGCATGAGCTGCCTAGAGGACGTATCGTAGAGGAAGTTGGACCAATTGGGATCCGTTTGCATGCACTGCATGACAAACAACTCCTGCATGCAGAGATTCATCACGCCGCGCCCAATGATCGTCCTGTGGCTCTCGTCCAGGTCGAAGCACTGATCCAAAGGCACACCCGGCACCAGCTCAGTGGTGAGAATGCTCTGCGTGGTCAAATCCCTGATGACTCTGGGCACGCGATACTGCGGGAAGTGCGCCACCATCTCGGCGTACTTCTCCGTGTATTCCGCCTCGCGCAGATAGTCCACTTCCCACACCAGCTCGCGCTTGGCCACCTTAACGATGTTGTCGATGAAGATACCCGGCGGGAAGACGTCCCACACCTTCAGCAGCCCCACCAGATTGTCAATGTCACTCTTGATGCTCGCCGCGACGCCCGGATACTGGATCTTTATCGCCACTTCCGTGCCATCGGTCAGCACGCCACGGTGCACCTGACCAATGCTGGCCGCGGCGAAGGGCTTCATGTCGAAGTGAGTCAGCTTCCCGCGCCAGTCGCTTCCCAGCTCACTCTTGAGGACTTTCTCCACCTGCCAATCCGGCATGTAATCCGCCGCTTGTCTCACTCTCTCGAAGGCCTTCGCGAGTTGCGGGTTGACCATCGAAGTGTCCTGCAAAAACATCCCCCAATCAGCACCAGCAGAGCTAACAATAACACTTTCCCTCCCCCAAACTCACCTGAATACTGAGAATCTGGCCAATCTTCAGCGCTGCTCCGCGAACTCTGCAAAGCGTATCCACAATTCTGTCCGCATTGGCCGGATTGAAGACCGCCTCCTTCACATTCAGCGTTCCTCCCAGGCCCAGCGCTCCCTTCGTCAGCTCCCCAATCGTGCCCAAACCCACGCCGGCAAACAGCCCGCCGAAAGACATCATCCTGCCAATTCTGGTCGCCGGAACTTTCCTCTGCTTCGCCACGGCGCTCAATTGGGGCACATTTGATGTTACTCTCGCCTCCTCAGCAGGCTTTTCCGCCCCTGTGTCCTGTTTGGCAATGAAAGTCATCCACTCCTGGACGTTCTTCTCATCCTCGGCCACAGAAGTGGGCGCCACAGGCGTCGGTACAACTTCATCTCGCCGGAAAACCTCGAATCTCGCCTCTGGCGATCTGTTTTTGTTCTGCGCCAGATAGTGTTCCAACTCTTTGAGTGTCAGTGAAGCTATGTCAACATTCCCGAGATCTTTGGTCACATTCCTGGGCTCCAGCTTCACGGAACTCGCGGTGAGCTGCCGGATGCCCTCCAGCACCACGGAGCCCCTCTCGGCGGCCTCCTTGAGGTTGTCTGACACACCGGAGAGCTTCTTCGAGGGATCCTGGAGAAACTTGTTGAGGCACTTAGATGACATTTCACGGTTTTGTAACACAATTTCCCGGATGCTGGAATTCGCCCAGAGACGCTGAAAGCACTGCTCTTGCGTCTTCACTGTGGCCTCAAGAACAATCTGAAGACCCCGCAGAAGAGCCACCAGATCCTGGCTTCGTGACATGACTGGAAAACACCGCTTCTGACCAGGATTTCACAACTTTCTCCGCACAGATGATTCCACTTTGAGGTTAAATCACGTAATAGCCGCCGCTCTTAGCCGAGACACAATTTCGCCTTCGCCGAGCATTGAACAGATTGAAAATCATTGGGGGAGAAAAAACGCGCCAACACTGAGAGAAATAATTGCTGCGCGTTGAAGTATTCTTAATTGCCAAGTTACTGTGAAATGGAATTTCACAGCCACTCAATAATATTATCAAGTAGATTGTAATGAGCGTAATATTATACAAAAATTGAGACTTTGTAGAAAGTTTTACTGGCCGAAGAGGACAATAAAATGCTTGTAAATCGCTCATCGCGCCTTAAGAAAAGTGAGAGGAAGCTTTTAAAGAGGCGCAAATGTACCCGAAAATATTATTACAAAATCGATTTATTGAATATCATTTAGCTGAATGTGTTTTCGAATCTCTTCAATGCGCTAACTTTCTGTCTCTTCTGCCCAAATTGAGGCCTAAATTGTTCCAAACGGTCAAGTTTAACTGACATCCTTATAATTTTTTATGATGAATTTACAAAAGAAGGGCGTTGCTTTTGATAAATTGAAGAAAAAAACATTATTTCTTATGTCTTAGAACAGTTTTTGAACTTGAATTCATTCTAAATCTCTTCCTCGCTCGAAATATTCTTCTTAGCAGTAAAAGAGTTGTCCAAAATGTAGTCTTAGAGCTTGTGGCGTTTTTTCAGAAGTTCTTTGCATGATTACTTTTAAACCCACCCTTTTAGTCGCTCCGCCTACTCTTGGAAACAACATGTAATCTCATTGAGCACTCCTTCAGCTACTGACTTACCTGAGAATACGCACTCAAGCGACTAAGTCTCAAGTTCAATGTGTCTAAAAATCAGCGGTATTCCGATTGCCATTGACCTCAGATGGCAACCAATAAACCACTAAATATCACCTTGAAAAGTGCCATAAATCCGCCAATGAAGCAACAATGAAGAGCTGTAAAGCTCTGAAAGAGGCGCTCATTTGGCGAAGAGGCACGTTTTTGTGCTACCAATATCTTCCGATATAATAAAATGAGACATGAGAGATGGCTAATTGCGTCTCTCGCGGAGTTGTGAAACAGAGCGACGCCCCTCTGCCCACGGTCCTCGACTCGCTCAATCAGCCATTAAATTATACGTCGCTCGGCAAATCCGTGGAATTCTTCAGGCCTCTCTTGCATCGAAAGCGAAAGGCATCGTGAGAGATTTCAATGGGGAGGGAAAAAGCCTCTCGTTTGGCAGCATGTGCGTGAAAGAAAAAAACCAGATCGACAGAGTGTAATTTTTGTGAGTTCTTTGCAAAAAGAACAAAATTCATTAATGTATGGTGCTTTTTTTCCCACACACAACAACAAACATCTAACATGAAAGTTTTGGGAAGGAAGAAAATAACGCGCAACTCTTTCAGTGGCTAAATAAACTTGACATTCATTCCGGTTCTTTTTTTCACTGCACAACACACAAAAGCACGCTCATGAGGCAGAAAATGAGATTAGAGGTGAAAAAATATGTTGTATACGTTTGCAAATCAATTTTTAATTTTCGCCACGGTGAGAAATGATCTCAAACATGCGGAGATTTCTCATTTTCTTACGCGATCTTGCAATTGTGCTTTCCCAAACTGCACTTTGATCGCATTCAAGATCACACCACCAAGATGTGATCTGAAGCGGAAGAAAAGAGTGTCTTTTTACAGTTTCGGACAGTTCGGGAATTGCGAGTGTTTTAATGAAAGTAAATCAATGAGGGAAAAAAACCACAAATTTATTTGCCGCTTTTTGTGCTCTGATTGAGAATGGAACTCCCGCAAAAGAGATCACAATTAAACTCTGGCCTTTCTTGCAACCCACGCAATTCGGCAATTGAGACTTTTCACTTGTGCCAAATTGGTTTTCTCATATCGAAAGGGCGATTTCTTCTGCAAATTTTCCACTCATCAACCGGCAAAATTACGTGAATATTCAATCTGAGAACATTTCTTTTACGTAAAGAGACAGTAAAATGAGCAAAAGTCGTGATTTTATTATTACAATTCAAGCTGAAAAAGTGTCTTTTTTCGCGAAATTAATTGCATTGCGCAATCCGAAGATAAGAGAAGACAAGTAAGGATGTCAAGTCAGAAGGAGGCAATTTTTCTTCGCTCCAGCCATTTGATTTATGACCATCAGTTTGCATTCATTAACGGCCAGAGCATTTTTTGGCAAATGCATGTTTTCTCTGGCGCAGCGACGATCGCATTTGAATAATGGTCATTCAACTCCAAAGCCAAGCGCCTAATTGACCAGAGACTCTGTCTCTCTGGCTAAAGAGATGTGAATAATTTTTTGTCACGCGGTCGTTTTGATAGTTGTTTGGGTTGTGCGATCATAACTTAAATACTCTGTATTAATATTTAAAGCGCTTTTGTGGAGGGGAAAAAATGTGATGTGTCTCTGATAAATTTCACCGTGAATTGAAAAAAATTTATAAATCATTTATTAATGGTTGGGCATAATCATTATTGTCGATACCCAGAAATTGCAACATGGGGGAAATGAAGAGAAATTACAGGTGGTTTAATAGGAGAATTCACACAAGTCACGCCCACGCGCAAGCCCCGCCCAGTTGACTTTTAAAACTCTTGAATTAGAACTTCATTTCAAGCGTTATTTGATTTAGCATACAACATTAGATCTTTATCTCTACATTTAATTACTGGAAACATATCGAAAACATCGCAATAAGTTAAGATAAATTACAACTTATTATACAATCAATTTTCAAACTTTCTTTCAGGAAAAAAAGGCATCAAGATTTTTCAATTAAAGATCAGATGAAACTTCAGGCTTCAGTTGCTTCAAAAGTGTGTCTGTGTGTGTGTTTTTCTCAGGAAATTCTCGATGTGTTCGATGATTTTTTACAACAGTCACTTTGCAAAAATACCTGGAAACTCACTGACCAAGAAAGGAAGGAAATCCCGTATAGTGGAAAAGATCGATCGCGCCACACCTGCGAAGCGCCTTCCGGTGTCTCTCTGCGACTCACGTGACTGACTCGCAATCTCTTCTTGAGTTCATCCAGCCAGAAGAGATTCTCCTCGAATTTGTCGTTGAGAGAAGAACAAATGCGCGAGGCCTGGGAAAAAAGGCGTCGCTCTCATGGATTGAGATTGAGTGGCAATTCTGGCCGGAATCTTTTCACTTTTGACGCTCACCTGTCTCTCTCTGGCGCTCGCGCTCGCGTGAGTATAAAAGCACATGAAATTTGGTGGTTGAATAGCATTGTTGTGCCAGTGGGAGCCAAGAGCAGACCGATAGTGTTTGGAATTTCATCGCCATCATATAGTGTTGGATTAAGTGGATTAAACGTTAGCGCAGCACTTTCACGATGTTGCCATTGAGTGAAAAAGTCAAGATCACGGTCAGCGCGATGGATTTAAGATGGATTAAAGGTGGATAAAAGTAAGGCTCCTTTGAATTTGCAGGTGTTCCTCGTGAGTGCCATGGTTCTGGGCTGTGCCACAGCCGTGAAGCATCCCAATCAGAGATCCTTCGTGCAGAAGAACGTGAAGAGAGACGCTCCTGTGGCTCAGCACTTCGGCGGCAGTCTTCACGGTGGCTTCGGACAGCAGAGTCACCAGCAATTCCAGCTGCAGGGACTCGATGGCCACCAAGGAGGTCACTTTGTCATGCCTCAGTACAGCTTCGCGGCGCCTCAGCTGCATTCCGCTGGCCACCAGAATCTCGCGCTTCAGGGACACAGCTTCGGCCACGGCGGAGGCGCAGGTGGGCAGCAGTTCACGCAGCTGGCCAAGATCCTCAGCACTCAGGGCACAGCTGGTCACGCGGGCAATCTTGGGAACCTCGCTGGCGGACAGTTTGGACATTCCTTCGCTGCCGGAGGACTGAAGACCGCGCCAGTGTCCTTCGCCGCTGCCCCTTCGACTAACTACGGCACTCCCGTGGCTTCTGGCCATCAGTTCGCCCATCAGCTGGGCGGCCTCCAGACGGCGGCGTTCTCTGGCGGACACGGATTCGGAGGCCTGAATCTGGGCAGCGCCCTGAAGGGCGGTGATTTGTCTGGCAGCAATCTTCTCTACGCCCAATCCTTCGGTGGCCATCAGCTTCCAGGACTGACGCAAGCCTCTTCTGGCCACACTGTGCCAGCCTACGCCATGGGGATCAAGGGTCTGGGACACTATTCCTCCCACGGAGGAGCAGGGGGACTCGGAGGACTTGGAGGTCTTGGGGGACTCTCTCAGGGTGGATTCCAGAGTCACGGCGATCTGGGATCTCAGGCCAGTCTGGCCAGTCACAGCCTTAGCTTCGACACTGCCAAGTACAACATTCCCACACTCTCGCACGGCAAGACTCTGGCTCCTGTTGCCTACGCCACTCCTGCGGCCTCCAATGTCAGGCACACTTCCATCTCCAACATCATGGATGGGAAGAACTTCAAGCCTTCCGTGCTGCTCGGGATGTACGCCGACGTGGGCGGTGCTGGCGAATCTCAGGGTTTCGGTGGCCTCAAGTACTCCCAAGCCTCCCTGCCCTCATATCCTGGCCACGCCACAGCCGCTTTCGACACCGGCGCCGCGTCGTCCTTCGGCGGCTACAACACCATCAACTATTCAGAGGGCATCGCGCACTGAGCGCTCCCTTATTTGCCAGCAATCTCTTAGTCTGTAACGATTTGTGTAAATTAATATTTATTTCGCGAAATTTCCCCCTTTTTCGCTGAGAGAGGAGAGAAATAATAAAAATGAAATGAATCTGTGAATATGTGTGAAAGACATTTGTTGCCATTGTCGAGACAATTTTCAAGAAAGAGAAATTCCCTCACGACTTGTGGAAAAACGCCACACACAAGAATTATACGGACTATAATTGGACTTTCTTTGTGAAATAGACTCTCCGATAATAGCCCAGCTCTCGCTGGGCGATCGCCATCCAGAGTGACAAACTGCGATGCAGTTCCGAGAGGTTAATCTTAACCATCATCCAGGCGATGGACGACAGCCAAATATTCGGCCGCACGAGAGATTAATTGGCGATTGCGCGAGGCAAAAAGTGCGCCAGAGATCAATTTGAAAGTACTGAGCATTCTCTTCGATCGCATTATTAATCAGAGAGGGTGAAAGTGACCACAACAGAATGTATTTGACCAATTCACACTTCTGGCCAATTGTGACACCTTCGCGCACTGCCAAATTGCTTTTGCCATATTTCTTGAGCACAATTGCTGAGCCAAATATGGCCAGAAATTTTATTCAATGTTCCACCGCCTTCATGAGTGGGTGGAACAATAGACAAAAAGCCTTGTTCATCCCTTAAACAACATCTCGTCGGTCGAGTTGTGAAAATGCGCGGGGAAAGTTTTTTCTCGCTCTGGAAAGAAAATGTTTAAAATGAGCGCGACAAAACCGCACCTCAACATCTTACCTTTTAGCGCAAACACGCTTTCCTCCACCATCTCACCATAGCAAAGGGATCGCAAAGTGGCCAAGAGAGTTTCGTGCACCTTCATTAGGTCATTAACAGGCGAAATTGGATTGAATTCACTTGCGTTTTTCAAGCGCGGCGCATTCAATGATCGCGCGCGGGTTTGTCGCTACCCGCATTGAAGTCTTTCGTTTTGGTCTTGTGCCGCGTTAAGATATGATGTGTAAAAAACAATAATTCACAATTTATAGCATTTATTGATGGCAAAATATTAATGATACACAAATGCGTGAGCAATTTGATAATGAATACCCATTAATGCATTCAACACAGTGTTTAATCGACACTGGATATTCTCTCACTCTGACCAGAGATTTGCTGGTGCTGAACGAATTCCATATCGTGTTTCATTTGCATTGTTTTGTACAAAAATCCCAAATGAAAGTAAAATCCGAGCCACACCTTTTGTAATCCTCCAACAAAATTTCTTTCCATGCACCGTCTTTTCTCTTGCCCTTCACGCAAAAAAACCCAAGTGATACACTCTTTGCGTATGTGCTTTCCTTTTCATCTCAATTGAGGCAGAATCAATGTTTTTTTCTTCTTTCTTTCTTTGCCAGGCGGAAAAGAGTCCATTTGTGAGGCACATTTCTCAGCCACCCAAGAGAAAGACACCAAAATCCGTGGTGGCAAAAAGACGATGCGAGAAGAGAAAGATCAGCATTGAAATTTAAATAAAAATGAAATGATTTTTATGATGATCTTTTTTTTCTCTACTGAACCGCGTCGTCCAACTGTAAGTGAGGAATGTGACTCTCACTCCCTCGTGGGCAAAACGGAGTCGCCTGAAGAGATCAACGGCAAGTCGTGATAAATCGCTGGGTGGCCCAAGAATGCAGTCATTTGATCAATGAACCCACAATATTGACACTGTCATGCGATTTTCGACGGTGAATTGCGGGCTTTCTTTCTGTCCACCCACGAAGATCGTGCAATTTCCCACCGAATCAGCAATTGAGCTTCTTGTGATATTATCGCGAGCATAAATTCAAGGTAATTGATTTGGCCGTTGATTTTAATGTGCTGATCAATTGATTGCATTGATAGATTGAACAAGAAGTTCAGCGAAAGTCCTTTGAATGCAACCCAGGGAGAAGGCATTAGACTGGAATTGGTGTACAAAAGATCACTCTAAAACATTAAGAAGCTTTATGAAAGCTGTAAAAGGACACAAAATATCTGCATTCTTTCTCAGCTTAGTAATTCTGAGACCGCATGAGAAAATATCTCTAAAATTTGATGTTTTTTTCTATAATCATGCGCCAAATTGCGACTTAACCCGCTGATCTTCCATGTTAATCCCAATTTACTGCACATTCACCGCAATCAGGCGCGATATGATGACCTCTTGCAGTGCGACTCGCAGTGGGAAAAATGCAGGAGAATTTCGATTTCATAAGTGAAAAGCAAATCGTCGCAAGGTCGATGAATTTCCCCCGCGGTGAATGGCGAGTTTCAGAGGGACACACTATCTCATGATCTGCAGTGAAGGAAAGAAAAAAACACCTGCGGTTCACTGAACACAGCTTCATTGATTGATCTTGAAATTTGAGAGCCTTTTCGCGATCACACCAATACAGAAACATCCGGCGCGCGAAGAGCTTTTCCTTCGCGCGCCACACTTGAGTGGCCAGCGAGTCACAGCAGTTCACAAATCCATTAAACACATTGGGGAATATATATACAATTTTTACACCGCATCTAATGAGTGCAATTGCGAGCAATTACGTGCGTTCATTGAGGAATGGAGACATGTCTCTGTGGTCGGCGGGAATGGGAAAAGTGCGAGATGATGGTTGTGTGTGGCACATCGCATTTTATGGTCTGCATCTGGCCATCCTCCACCACATGCAAGGCGTGTGCAATTTTCTTCAAATGCTATTGAAGAGCGCGAAAGCGGTCTTGCCCGCTGCACTTGCAAGTGTTTTAGGGTATAAAAGAAGCCACCAGTTGCTAATCATTTTCATTTCTTATCTAAACACACTAGAGGAAAGGTGGAGTTTCCAGAGAAAGAGAGACAGAGACTTTGTGTGTGGATTTTACCTTTGCTCTGTGCACAATTTACCAATTGAGGAGAGTTCAGTCGATTGTCGTGTGATCGCAACATTGCTGACCACTTGAGAGGTTCTCTTCACAGTCCAAACAGTGCCTTTTCTTGTGGTGTGTACCCCAAATTTTGTGCTCTGTAACACCGAAGAGATGAAGATTCAGGTGAGTGGATGAAAACAGTGACTCTGCATCGCACAAGGTGGTTATTTTGAAAGTTATATATCGCCTTTCATCAATTTTGGGATAAACATCACTGCGTGTTTTGCCGCATCATTGAGTGGTAATATCGCGTAATTGCGGAGGATTGTTTCTTCTTCGGCTGCCTAATTATTAAATTTTGGAACGTGCCATCCGCGACCTTCGCCATTTGCGCACTCTTCACTGCAGTTTTCTGGGCACTTTCCCGGGGATTTTTCTCTCACTTTCGCGCTCTCTGGGCGTTCTAGTTGTGATTGTCGCTCAAAGTGAAAGTCCATGTCTTTCTCTCGACAGTGCTTCGCCCTCAGCTTGAGCGTGTTGCTCCTGTCCGTGGCGGCGCGCGGTGACAATGAACTCGACCCAGAGTCCAGGAAGAACAGCCGCGTTGGCGAACCCACGATGCTCAACAGCCTCATCAGCGCCCAGGACCTGCTGACCAAGTCCAAGCATCTCACGGCTCCTACTCGTCCTCCCCCTGGAACCACCCTCACGCAGTTCGCGCCTCCGAATGCGCACGGCTTCTACTACTCACCCTTCGCCACCACGTCGCCCATCAGCTCGGGCTACCTCGTGTCGTTGCCCGCACACCACAGCAACGTCCTCGCCAGTGAGTCCGTTTCTGGATTTTGTCCTAAGCTAATGCAGAGTGGGAAGACGAGTTACCACAGTTACCATCAGAGTGCCTTCCCTGAGCGAATTGGTTTGTAGAGAAAGTTTGCTGTGACACAATTCGGACGCGATGTTTGGCCAAAGTTGCTCTACACCCAGGCAAAAAAGAATCAGGACTCTTTTTTTACCACCTTTTGGCTGGCAGGACAAACTTCTTACAAACCCATCTGATCAGACGGACGGACAAACGCTACTCAACACACTCCTGCACGCCAACATACTCACTTAATCTCTTTGTTTTCCGCAGCAAACTCACCCTTGGGAATGAACTACGGCTTCCAGTACGTCCAACTGGTGCCCAGACCGATGGTGGTGCCGATCAACCCCTACTCGCAGTACACTTCAGTGCAGCCCCAGGCGCAGCCGCAGCCGCAGCCCTATCTCAGCCACTCGCAGAGCCAGCAAACGGCCGCCTCGACGCACCACCAGCAGTCGCAGTCGCCGCAGTTCCTCAACTCCGTGCCGCCCACGCAGCAGACGGCCGCGTCGATGACCATCGCCAGTCCCGTGAACCATCACTACGTGCCCTACACGCCGCCGCTGGCGCAGCAGCAGCCCGTGGCCAGCTACTCCAGCCCCATGGTGTCCTACTTCGCGCCGCCGCCCGCCGCGCGCTACCACTTCGCCGCGCACCCCCCGGAGCTCACCCTCAACACCAACGAGTATTTGCCCGGACAGCTGGAGAGCGGCTTCCGCGCCATCAAGCGAGTCTGAGCCCCCGTGCGTCCAGCCAGTATTTATTCGCTTTCGCAAACCAAACACTAAATGTTTAAACAATAAACGATTCCACGTGAAATCTCGTGAGTTTCTTAATCCCTTTTCGTCAATAAGTCCTGAGAAATATATAAAAAATATAAAATTGATTATTGCAATCATCGTGATTTGAAATAAATTGCCCTGCATTAGGCGCTCGCGATCGCGATCATTCCAGCGGAAAGAAATTGTTTGATCAACACTCCAAATGAACTCCTCGAAAGACTCAAAAGTAAAACAAAACTTACCTAATCTTCACGCTGAGTCTCTAATTTGCCTTTTTGCCCACCTAATCTCTTAATTACCCGCTCAATTACCTTCAAATTCCATTCTTTTATCACTGAATCAAATCACGGCGATTTGATGAGCCTCACCAATCGATTCTCCCTTTCAATTCACCCAATGGATGCGCGATCGAGATTGATGAACTACTTCATTGGCAAGCCATTGAATTGTTGCAGAAAAGATGCCCTGAAAGTCA